CAAGGGCGTTCAAACGATTTAGACACGCGCGCGCGAAGCCCGTTTGGTAGCATTTTATGAATAGGTTGAACAACGCATGGTTTCCTTAAGAATTCGCAAGAGTGCGCGCGCACGCTTTTGTTGAGAATCCGTGTTGCGAACCATGTGTTTTGTATGTTTGTTGGACACTCGATTTCGAATTCCCTCTGGACCCGAAGGTTTTTGGAGGATTTCGGCATTCGCGCGACGACGCGCGCGCGCACTTCGTCTCATTAGTTACAAAGGGTTCTCGCGACGGCACGCGCGCAAGGGCGTTCGAACGATTTCGACATGCGCGCGCGCGAAGCCCGTTTGGCAGCATGCTCTGAAACTGTTGAAAAAATGCTTCTTCTTTTTAGAATTCGCAAGAGCGCGCGCGTGCTTTTTTGTCCTGGAATCCGCGCTGCGAAACCATAAGGTTTTTGGAGGATTTCGGCATGCGCGCGCGACGACGCGCGCGCGTGTTGCAAGGGGTTTTTGGAAACTGATGGTTGTTGATGAACGAGTGCGCGCGCATAATATTTCTGCTAGGAATGACAGGGGGGCGATACCGGCCTGGCTGGTGCGTTTTGCATCGGTTCCCGCGGGGGCGTTAACCCCGGGGGGGGAGGGGGGCAGAACTTATTTTTTTGCCTTGAGAGGAGAATTTGTTTGGTGCCATTGGTTTTTACAGACGAGTTGACACATCCCATGCTCCTGCAAGCATCCCACCCACCCACCCGCAACTTGGTTTGCAAAACCCTTGCGGTGGCGATTGCGATAAGATGTTCTTCGTTGTGCAATATTTGTGGTGCACGACCACGGGCGGCGACGAGGTCGCGACGGGGAGGCGACGGCGGCAACAAACGCTGCGACCGACAGACAGGCACAGACGACGGACAACGACGAGGCGGCGATTTTCCGCGGCGACGGCCGGCACGGAGCCGCCAGACCGACACAAACCCAAGCGACGGGCGGCGACGAGGCGGCGACGGGGCGGCGACGGCCGGCACGGAACCGCCAGACCGACACACTTTTCCGTCGCGGCGCGGCAGAGGCGATCCGCTCGCGCTGGGCTACGACGTGTCGAACGGTCCCACATACAAGAGGGGGGAGGGCCAGGAGAGGGCGACCGCGGAAGGGGAGGGGAGGAGGGGGGCGCTCTCACGCAACAGCGCCGCGGGGAGCGCGCGGAGCGGCAAGGCTGCGGGCCAGCCCCTGGCAGCGGCGCGGGGCGGCGTCGCGGGCGCACCTAGGGGCGGGGCCAGCAGCCCCATTGCGGGCGGAGCCCACCAAGCAAAGGGGCGGGAGCAGCGGGCGGCAGGCGGACCGGGTGCCCGGGCGTGGGGTGCACGGAGGCAACAGCTGGGGCGCGCGGCGGCGGACTGAGCAGGCCAGCGCGGTGGGCGTTGAGGCAGTCGCCAAGAGACGAGCCAGCGTGGCAGTGCATGGCGGGCGCCAGGGCGACGGAGCGCCGCCAGGCAGCCGGGCGGTGCAGGCCGACGGGGGCCAGGGGGAAGAGGTGCGGCGGAGAGGAGGCAGCAGCTGGTGCGCGCGGCGGAGGGCTGGGCAGGCCAGCGCGGTGCGGCGGGCGCTGAGGCGGTCGCGGGAAGGCGAGTCAGCAGTGCACTGCAGGGCGGCTGGCAGGGCTAAAGAGCGCCACCAAGCAGCTGGGCAATGCAGGTTGGGCGGGGCGAGGGATGGTGGGGGGCGGAGAAGCAAAACCCATCCCAGGGCCGGCGCACGCAACACAGCGAGGACGCGGGCGGCGCCCAGTGTAAGTGTAGCACGGGCGTGGACCCCCAACAAGAGGAAGCAAAAGCGGGAGGAGAGCCTCAACGGCGGTGCCCCCCAAGTGGAGGCAGCAAGAGCTGCCGGCAGGGGCGGCGGCCGGCCAAGCCCAGGGCGGGTGGGCAGCGAGCACACCGCACCGGCCGAGGTGGGCCGGGGGCGCCTGCGCAAAACGGCGACCGACGGCGGCCAAAGCGAGTGCGGCAGCACAGAGGAGCGTCGCCAGCGCGGGGGAGGGGAGCGGCCCGCAGCCAGTGAGGCCGCGGAGTGCGGGCAGAGGCCCCCAAAGGCGCGCGACGCAGCACCTGGGAGTGCTGCCGCGCCGGCGCGCATAGAAGTGCGACCCCGAGGGGGCGCAAGGGGGGGCGTCTGCAAGCCAGACAGGTATTGGCCAGCCTGCGGCGGGCGGGCAACGACGTTCTAATGGGTCGCGACCCCCCGCGTCCAGGTCCAAAGGGGGAGGGCAAGCTAGGTGCGCTCGCGTCATATCTGACGTCCTACCCCTCCCTCCCATCCCTTACCATGGCGTACATCTCCTCTCTATTCGCACAATTGGATGTCGCAGCATGGCATAGCATGAGTACATGGCATAGCATGGTGTCGAATATCGACGCGTAGCATGACATAACATGGCGTGGCGACTCCCCAGAGTGGGGGGCGGCTTCTGCGGCCCATGGAATCAACGAATCGGCACCGAATGTGTAATTACTTCCGATGGTTTTTTCGGGAGGCCACTGTTTAGATTCTGGGGCCTTTTTGGAAGGACCGAAAACCATGCCGTGTCCTGGCACTGGAAATAATGACGCCAGCGCTGCAGCGGGAGCACGATTCGGAACGAGCGGAAGCGCGGAAATGAGGCCAGCGCTGCAGCGGGAGCACGATTCGGAACGAGCGGTAGCCCGAAAATGAGGCCAGCGCGTCAGCGAGAGCAGCATTTTTTAACAAACACCAGGGACAAACGCGGAAGCACAGAAATGAGGACGCGTAACTTGACATAGAATTGCGTGGCGACGCCCCTAAGTGGAGGGGGGGGTTCTGCGGCCCAAAAAATCAACGAATCGACACCGACTGGAATCACTTCCGATGGTTTGTTCGGGAGAGCATGTTCTAGATGTTGGTGCCTAGTCGGAAGGACCGAAAGCCATGCCGTGGCATGGCGCTGGAAATGATGATGCCATCGCTGCAGCGGGAGCACGATTCGGAACGAGCGGAAGCGCGGAAATGAGGCCAGCGCTTCAGCGAGTGCAGCATCTGATTAATAAGAAAGGCATTTGCGCGAAAATGAGTACACGTACGGACACAGCATGGCGTGGCGATGCCCCTAAGGGGGGTGAGGGGCTTCTGCGGCCCCCGAAAAACACGATGTTACACCAAATGTGGAATCACTTCCGATGGTTTGTTCGGGAGAGCATGTTCTAGATGTTGGTGCCTAGTTGGAAGGATCGAAAGCCATGCGTGGCATGGCGCTGGAAATGATGATGCCAGCGCTGCAGCGGGAGCACGATTCGGAACGAGCGGAAGCGCGGAAATGAGGCCAGCGCTGCAGCGGGAGCGCGATTCGGAACGAGCTGTGGCCCGAAAATGAGGCCAGCGCGTCCGCGAGAGCAGCATCTTGAAGAAAAACAGCGGAAACCCGTTTCCCGGGAATCTTGTGTAAAAAACGTGCGCGGAGGGTGGCCGAACATTTCCAGGACGCCACCAGGGGAGAGAGGAGGGTGAGAGTAGTATTCAGATTGTGCAATTGTGGATGTGTCAACCTTTTCCCTGACTGGGGAAAAAGGGGTCGGAAGAAGAACCGCCCTAAAGGGCTGGTGGGATTGGGGAAGTGTTACGCAGGCGGTGGGAGTCGTGTAGCTCCCTACCGCAAACAGAGACTGCGTCTGAGACCGCAATGGTGGATGGCCTCGATGGCCTCGCTGGCTGCAGGCGTGCGCTCCTTGGGGGCGCACGGGGTGAGGGCAGCTACGAGGATGGTGGCTTTGTCCACCATTCCCTCGCGCTTGGTGCACCTGTACTTGCTGTTACAAAGCTCGTAGCTGTGCTGACTGGTCCCAAGGGCCCGCTGCAGCCTGCTGTGCCCCTTGGCCGTCGACGGCCTCTCGCAGACGCACGGGTCCGCAGCAGTGGAGTCAGCTAAGGCTCTACGAGTTCTGCGCCGAATCCAGGCTCACACTGGGCACCGTGAGGGTGTGCGGGGGGCGCAACTCCGACTAGAGCCTGCGTTCAGGCGTTATGGGCGGTAACGCCAGCCCTCGCGTCGGCACAAGCATTGCCGATGGTGAGGAACAGCTTGCGCGGGTCACTGCCTAAGCCTGCTTCGTCCTCGCTGTGTGAGGGTATCGACAGGCCCTTCACAAGCTCAGTGCGATGCGCTGCTGCGGTCTGGATTCTCTGCCACAGATCAGTGTTTGCCCCCGACTGGGGCCGATGCTGGCGACCTGGTCTCCACATGTCGTAAGAGTGAGAGGTGGTCGGTCGCGAAAAGGATGCGCCCGATTGACAGCTCGAGGGCGAGAGCGAAGGCCGTGAGCTCTGCGCAGGGAACGGTATGAAAGGGCCCCTCAGGCCGGTGAGCGTTCCGCCCCCGGGCTCCCACTTACCCTGGTGGCCTTGGAGGACGATGACTGCTGCCCCCTCTCGGCGGCGTCGGGGGTCTGAGCTGCTTTGACCTCCAGAGCCGTCTCCGAAGAGGGTCAGCAAGCCACCACGATCTCTGCACTCTTCCCAGTCCCGCCCAACCCAGGGAGGAGGGAGTAGGAGGGAGGAGGGCCGAGCAGGGAGGACGGAGGAGGATGAGGAGGAGGAGGAGGAGGAGGAGGAGGAGGAGGAGGCGGAGAGGGCAGATGAGTAGGAGAAGCGGAGGAGGGAGGAGGAGGAGGAGGAGGAGAGGAGGAGGGAGCAGATGAGTTGGAGAAGGGGAGGAGGAGGAGGAGGAGGAGGAGGAGGGAGGAGGAGGAGAGGAGGAGGAGGAGGAGGAGGAGGAGAGGAGGAGGAGGAGGAAGGGAGGAGGAGGGAGGAGGAAGGGAGGAGGAAGGGAGGGAGGGGGAGGAGGAAGAGGAGGAAGGAGAGGAGGAGGAAGGAGGAGGAGGAGGAGAGGAGGAGGCGGAGGAGGAGAGGAGGAGGAGGAGGAGGAGGGGGGCACGACGACGACGGCGGCAACGACGACGACGGCGGCGGCGGCGAAGACCAGCGCCGCGCCGTTGGCCGGGCAGGACTGGGGCGAAGGCCTCCGAGGCCTTGGCCTCAGGCTCGCGCGCGGGTGGGGGGGCACGGTCTTCCCGGCGAAGTGCGAGAGGGGAGGGGGGGGAAGGGGGGGAGGGAGGGGAGGGAGGGGGGGCGAGGGAGGGGGAGGGAGAGGGAAGGGGATGGGGGGAAGGGAGGGGGGCAGGTGAAGGGAGGGGGAGGGAGGGGAGGAGAGGGGAAGGGAGGGGGAGAGAGGGGGGACGGGGGAGGGGGGGAGGAGGGAGAGAGGGATGGTCGAGATTCGAGGGTCGACGTCTTTCGGGCCACGTCGTCGTCGTCGTCGTCATCGTCGTCGTCGTCGTCGTCGTCGTGATGGCAGCACCGCCGGAGGCCATCCGAAAATGTCCTTCGGTCTGAGACCTGAGAGCCGTGCATGATGAGCTCCAGCGAGCTCTGCACCCCACAGCCGCCACTTTCTGCCACCGCCTCACGCGCCCCGCCGGCGGAAGCTGGTGTCGCTGCCAGTCTGATGCAGAGCTGACACAGCGGCCCCGCAGGCTGGCTGACCCCGAGGTGTAGACCACGAGGCCGAAGACGTGATACTGTCAACCATGATAGTAAGGATGGGGCAACTTTCCAAGGCTACCCTTGCATCCTTGCCCCTTCGGTACTCGGCACCCTTCGGCATTCTGCTGCGCTCCGCGCGGAAAACGTCCACTGGTCGAGTGCAGAGACCTTCAGCGCTCGAAGCCCAACATTCAGCACGCAACGACATGTGAGGAAGGATATCGCCGAGTGGCGAGCGCACGCGGGCCCCTGCCCCTCGCAGAGAGCCCCCCCCTGCGAGGCGCGCGCGGCCCCTGGGCGAGTAGAGACAGGGCCGCGCGCCCTGCGACGGGAGGTTCCATGAGTGCCACAGTGCGCACTGCTCCTTCCCCATCCCTCTTCCTCTTCCTCCTCCTCCTCCTCCTCCTCCTCCTCCTCCTCTTCCTCTTCCTTTCCTCCTCCTCCTCCTCCTCTTCCTTTCCTCCTCCTCCTCCTCTTCAGACCATGCGCTGCGTGGGTCTTCCCCAATCAGTGCTTGCACTGAAGGGGTCCTGCCGAAAGCTGAAAGATTTGGCGAAAGTGGCCTGCCGAGTTTGGTGGCAGGCTGGGTTCCCGGGTTCCCGGTTCCGGGTTCCCGGGTTCCCGGTAATTGGGTCCGGGACGATTTCGGTGTGTTCTGGGTTCCCGGGCTCCCGGGTTCCCGGTCGATCTCCTCAGCGAAACCATGCATTGATTGGGTTTTTTCTCTGGTGTAATGTTTCCCTTGAGGTCGATGGATGCTGAAAAATTGTCGTCGTCGCGCGGCATGGTCGTCATCGCCGTCGGTCGTCGCGCGGCGTCGTCGTCGCGCGGCGCTGTCGCCATGCCGGACTCCCGAGGCCTTGCCGTGGGAACAGGGGGATCTTGCAGAGGACGCCCCCTCCGGCGAAACAAAAAAGACAGTCCCCGGGACGGGTCGAGAGCTCTGGGGCCCACGCGTTGAGAAAGCACGACGCCGAATGCCTCGTAGAGGAGCGCTCTTGCCTCACCTCTCCGCGGCCCACAGCAAAAAAGGTCTGCCAGCGCGGGCCCAAAGCCATGCGTTCTAGCATACTGCGTGGTGCAAGCCACGTGGTGCAGCGCATGCCAGGCAATATGTGTGCTGCAAGCTGCGTGATGCACTATATCCTGGCATCGGTCGGACGTGTGCATTTCTTCTCGGCGAGGGCCATCGAGAAGCATCCTTGATCATTTGGCGCAAAAGCCACGCACGAAACCTCCCCCCCAAGAAAAACACAAGGAAGGGACGTCCGAGCGATGGCCAGATATGTGCGGTGCAATCCACGTGGTGCACTCTGGGCGGCTCGCACCATCCAAATCGCGACCATTTGGACGCCCGAAATGGGGACGGAAAAATTGGGTACAACGCCCCACGACCAATGTTGTCCCAAACCAACAGCGGCCGCTGTTGGGCAGGCGGCCTTCCGTCTCGAATGGACACAGGCCGCGGCGGCGTGGACAGCGAGTCCTGCTCAAAATGAGCAGGAACTGCTGTTGGGCATTGTACCCATGCTTTCCGTACCCATGTCGGGCGTCCAAGGACCAGAAATGCGGCGGCGACGGGCGGCGAGGCGACCCGGGCGGCCACGGGCCGGCCGCACCGGCAGACGGCCCCAGCTGCGAGCCTCGCACGGTCAAGATCGGGGCCGAAGCTGACGAACGAGCACCACACACCCATACCCAGAGGGGGGTCGTTGAGAGGAGGACTGGCTATGGGTACGGGTGCGGGTCGTCGGACCCTGGGGAGCGCTCCCGTTCGAGCGGGGACCCCCATCCGACCACACGCACCCGTAGCCCTCTCCGACCCCCCTTCTGGGTAATGGGTGTGTGTTCTTGGTTCGTCAGACACGGGTGCGGCGACGGGCGGCGGCGACGGGCGGCGGCGACAGGCGGCCGCAGGCCAGCCTCCAGTCGGGCCGGTCCCTCTGCAGGCTGCAGGGCGAAACTTCAAGAATAGTCCAATCATTGTCCGGGGACGATGGCTCGACAATGTTTGAGCATGTTTGGAGCATTAACAAAAAATCGTTTAAACAAAAATAATAATATAAAAAATCATCCAAAATCCCCCTGTAGGAGGACAGGCTCGACTTAAAGCCAGCCGGACCGACGCACAGGCCTGGTTCCGCATGGAAGAAGTGAGAACCCCTGAGTGCAAGCACTGCTCGGGAAGAGCAGTGGGCCTTCCTGCCCGTTCCCATATCCCAACGTCGTGGTTTTTATCATGAAAGCGACCCCTACAGGCCTGGACTTCTTCACCAGGGCAAGTTTTCCTTCCCGAGTCTTTTCGTTGACGGCCCCGAGGCTTGGCAGGGGCCCCCAGAGACCGAAAATAACGAAAAATTGTCCGTCGTGATTTTTTCGCGACTCGACGGGGTCTGGGTTATAGGTTTGGGGGCCCCTTGAATCACCCCGTAGAAAGATGTGGCCGAGGGCTCGGGCCGTGATTTTCCTTCGCCGCGTGCGCCATTTCCATGGCGCTGGATGTCGGGGCGGCCCTCCCCAGACTTCCAACGAGCCCCAACTGCTGCTCTCGATCCATCAAAAGGAGGAGAAGGAGGACCAGGAGGAGGAGGAGGAGGAGGCGGATGAGGAGGAGGAGGAGGAGGACGACGACGAGGACGAGGACGAGGACGAGGAGGAGAAGGAACAGGAGGAGAAGGAAAAGGAGGAGGAGGGCAGAAAAGGAGGAGGAGGGGAGAGGAGGAGGAGGAGGAGGAGGAGGAGGAGGAGGAGGAGGAGGAGAGGAGCAGAGGCTTCGAATCGAACAGGCCTTGAGATCGCGTAGCGTAGCGTAGCGTAGCGAGGAGGAGGAGGAGGAGGAGGAAGGAGGATGGGAGGAAGGAGAGAGGAAGAGGAGGGGAGGAGGAGGAGAAAGAGAAAGAGAAAGAGAAAGAGATATTAGGAGAGAGGAGGGAGGAGAGGAGGAAGAAGGGGGAGGGGAGGAGGAGGAGGAGGAGGAGGGGAGGAGGAGGAGGAGGAGGAGGAGGAAAGGATGGGGAGCGGAGGAGAGGAGGAGAGAGGAGGAGAAAGAGGAGGAGAGGAGGAGCAGAGGAGGAGGAGGTGGAGGGGGAGGGAGCAGGAGGAAGAGGAGCTGGAGCAGAGGAGGAGGAGGAGGAGGAGAAGAGAGGAGGAAGAGGGGAGGAGGAGGGGAGGAGGAGGAGGAGGGAGGACGGGGAGGAGGGGAGGAGGAAAGGAGGAGAGAGGAGGAGGAGGAGGGACAGAGGAGGAGAAAGTAAGAGGAGGTAAGGATGAGGAGGAGGAGGAGGAGGAGGAGGAGGAGGATGGGGAGGAGGAGGAGGAGGGGAGGAGGAGAGGAGGAGAGGAGGAGGAGGAGGGAGGAGGAGGAGGAGGAGGAGGAGGAGGGGGAGTAGGGGAAGGTGGAGGAGAGGAGGAGGGGAGGGGGGAGGAGGAGGCGAGAGGAGGAGGAGGAGGAGGAGGGGAGGAGGTGAGGAGGAGGAGGAGGAAGAGGAGGAGGAGGAGGAGGAGGAGGAGGAGGAGGAGGAGGAGGAGGAGGAGGAGGCGGGGGAGGAGGAGGAGGAGGAGGAGGAGGGGAGGAGGAGGAGGAGGGAGGAGGAGAGGAGCAGCAGGACGGGAGAGGAAGGGAGGAGGAGGAGGTGGAGGAGGAGGAGGAGGACGAGGACGAGGTGGAGGAGGAGGAGGAGGAGGAGGAGGAGGAGGAGGAGGAGGAGGAGGAGGAGAAAGGAGGGGATGAGGGTGGTGGGGCAGGAGGGGAAGGAAGGGGAGGAAAGGAGAGGGGAGGAGAGTGGAGAGGAGAGAAGAAGTGGGCGTGAGGGGCCGCGCCTCTTCTCCCGAGCCGTGGCTCTGTGCACGGCCCCGGACCCAGAGACGGCCCCCCGAGGCCCCCCGGCCACGCAGCCAGGACAGCTCGCTTCATGTCACATCCGAGTCAGATCTTCGCGCTGGGAGGGGAAGGCCGAAGTTCGATGCTCGTTTGGGGGACCTTCCTGGGGCACACCTTATGGATCAGTTCGGCTCCAGTTCGGCTCAAGTTCGACTCAAGTTCGACTCAAGTTCGACTCAAGTTCAACTCAGGTTCGACTCAGGTTCGTCTCAGGGTCGACTCAGGTTCGACTCGAGTCGGCGGACGTTCGACGCCGCTTCGACGCACGAGCGGAGCGATTGGCTCCAAAAAGGTCCCCAGAGTGAGTACCTCAGACCAAAGAAACAGAAACAAAAACCCCAGCGCGATGATGTCGAGACGGCAGAGGTGCAGGTCACCCTTCCCCGGCCGACTCCGCAGCCACGCCCGTTCGAGAGGCCGGGCTGGGCCCAGCCCCGAGCCGCCGCCCCCCCCCCAGCCGAGCGACCGGGCGCCCCGGCGATGGAGGGCCCGAGCGAGGTCGCGGAGGCGACCATCAGGAATCGAAGAAGCGTCAGGGGTGGGAGGGCAGGATCATCGCTGTCGTCGTCGTCTGGCAGCTTTGGGGGGGCTGCAGGCCTCGGCCCGGCGCGAGGGCG